CAAGGGACCCCCTACCTAGCACAGCTGTGTGATGCTGTAGCTTCTTCGAGAAGCAATTAACCAAGGATGTGGCAAGTCCAACTAGCTGTCCAACCACCCGTGCTTCCCTCATTCCATTGGACAACCATGGGATTTGCTTTTTCAGAATTTGAGATGAGCTAGCTTGGACCATTTGTATTTCCTGTTTGTTCCCCATAGTCTACTGGGAAACAGAGTAAGTTGGATCCTCTTGCTATAATTTTATCCATTTACTCTAACTTCTATTTTACCTATAAGTCTTTAGTGGGCATACTACACATGAATACATATTGAGGAACACTTAAAAGCCTTGGTTACTCAGTATTCTATCAGATAATGAGGTCCCCTGATGGCAGCTTGAATCAGTCAATGGCTATTAATTACCCTGTTATTCAGAGTACCGTTAGGAACACAGCCAAACTTGTCTGCCTTTGCCTCTGATCTAGTATACCAGAGTAAACCTTCCTTTGTCAGCCTCTGCCACTGACGACAAGGCCCTCTCTGAGTCGAACTCTCTATGAAGCAAAATCTTCCCTGGTTAGCAGAATTGCTGGAAGAAAAAACCCAGAAATGCCAATTCAAAATGACTTACATTATAAATAGCTTACAAACCTGCTTGTCTTTTATTGCAGCTACTAAATCATGGTGGCAAAGGGAAAGAAAAAAAAAGAATTTCAAAAACAACTGCCATTTATTTTTATTTTCCCAGAGAGGTTTCTGTGATCTCTTTATTAGACACAATATGTGTTAGCTATTCAACTCATAAAAAAAATAAAAAAATAAAATAAAAAACAGAAAAACATGCCAGGAAAGGAAAAATATTTTCTGTTTCTCCCTTCCTATGAAAACTTTGAATGAGCTCATCTGTGTTCTCTCCTTTCAATGAAAGATACGCTCATCCCTCAGCCCTCATCTTCTTCTCATTTTCCATTGATGATGTCAGGCAGGCGTTATAGTATCTCTTTTGTGATCTTATAAAATCAATGACAACTGAAAACATTTCCCTTCTGGCTATGACTTCATCAGTGGTCCACACCTGGACAGGCCTCATCTGCATTGGTAAGTAGAGCTAAACTCCACTGATCCAGACTGAAGCAATTTACCAGGAAACTACTGCTTTCCTTCAAAATGCTCAGATTTGGAAGATTTCTGAGCAACTTGGCTGAGTGCTGAATCGGACTAGTCAAGGTGGCTCTCTAATCTTTGTACCTGTCTGTGTACACACCAGAAACTCTCCTTTACCGAGTCCTGTTTTTGCCTGGACACAAAGTAATCACTACTTTGAAATGTTAAGGAGATGACATTTTGGTGATATTCTTCTACTCCCCCCTCCACTGAACTAACTGCGTGTTACTCTCATCTACATCTGAGCAGTGAAACAGGTATCCAGTTAAGTCAATTTAGGACAGAAACGAATTTTGTGTCACTGGGCCTACATGGCTGTGAGCTCCCAGGACCAGGGAAGCAGAAAGGGAAACACCAGCCATCTCCATGCTGAGAGACTCCAAGCACACTCAAAGCTCTGTGACTTGAAAGATAAAATCAATACATAATGGATGAGTTTGGGGAGAAGCAAAAGGCACAAAAGACAATTTTACAGGCCCCAAGAGGGCAGAGAAAGGAAGGCTTGACTGTAATGGTATATCTAAAGCTAAATGGTGTTTACATGTTTAAATATTGTACAAATTGGAGTAGCAATGGACCTACAATGCATCTGAGAGGCAGATGTGGCAACTCACTCAATTCAGAGGATGGGGTTACTCAAAAGAAGAGGTCTAGCTATGGACAAGGGAGGGTTCATCAGGCTTCCCTTCCTGTGGTCCATGTGAAATATGCTTTGTCATTAGCAACCTCCCTTGCTTCAATCAATTTTCAGATGGCTAATTCAGTCTTTCCAGTTGACACTGAGACATGAAGATGCTGAGACACAGAGAGGTGCTCTACAAAGGGTTTGTGAACATTCTGGTCTCTGAAAAAGAATCTTCCTTATTGTAAAATTAACTTGGCTTTGTTTTGTGTACCACTCTCACAATAATAATAACTGATAAATCTTCAGTACTTGCCATATGCCCAAGCACAATTATAAGTATTTTACATGATGAATGCATTTAATCACTACAAGAAATGTCTGAGTCAAGCACTATTATTATCACCATTTTGCAAATAAAGAAACTGAGTCAGAGAGTATAAAGAAGTTGCTCAGGGTTACGTAGCTAGAAGGTGACAGAGCCAGGATTAAAATCCAGAACACAAGGCTCCAGAGCCTGTAGGTTTAACTGCCATGCTATGCCTGTGCTTGTGAATTATTATGAACAAATTTTCCTGCATCTGGTCAACTCAGGTGCGTTGGCAAGACCAAAATCCATACATTCCTTACAAAATCATGGGAACACTTGAGCACTTTGAGCCTCAAAGCATTTTTCCCCTTTTGGCCTATATTCATACAGAACTGAAGGTAAAAAACTGCAATATTTTTAAAAGCACAGAAGCACTGAGATTTACCATAAGGAATTGATTGCAAGTGAGCAGAATCAGCTCCTAAGCTCATACTTGAAAAATTTCTGTGTGAAGACTTATAGTGAAAAATACATGGAAGCAAAGTTGGGCTAATGTTTTACACATTTTAGAATTGCTTTCAGGATGTGTTTCATTTTAGAAAAGCTAGAGAAAAGACAGAAAACATTTATTGAGTGTGAACTATGTGCCTGGCATTGGGCTAAGTGCTTTTTCACACATGCGATCTTCTTTGACCTCACAACAATCCTATAAAATATTATTAATTTCATGCCTATGGATGAGAACAAAGACTCAATGAGGTTTTACACTTTGTTCGAGATTACACAGCTAATAAGCAGTATAACTGGAAATCAAACCTAGTAATGCACAATTCCCCATTCCACCCCCGTCTCCCTCAAATTAGATTTTATCTTATACAGTGCTATGCAGGATCTTGATGTGGCCATTTGAAGGGAATTGTAACCTCTTGATTCTAGGCAGCAATGAATGCATCTATTGCCTTCACGAGTCTGTAAACACAATGGAGCACAAAACTCACATCTTATTCATTACTCTATGCCAACAATACTTGGCAGAGGGTAAGCTCAGAACAGTAGCCGGTGAGCACCTTAATACTGTGAATGTGGATGGTGGACACAGGGATAAATGATAATTCCGGGGAAATACACAAATACAATCTTAAGGCAATGTGTACATTTGAACCTTAATTTTTAGAGGGATTGTTTGGCAGATTTGTCAGCGGACCTGAACAAACCCCACCACTGAGGCACAGGACGAAGCTCCCTAAGTCCTGGGTGTGGTGTTTTGTGATCTATCTCCCCCGGCAGCCCCTTCCCCCCTCCTCCGGTGCCTCTCTGGCTGCTGTCTCTCTTTCCTGGCTTTGAACCTTTTGGCAGCCTCCAATAGCTCTTCTTCAAAGAGCCGAAGACAAGCCTGATGTTTCAATTGCCTTGCTTAATTCCAGACAGGTTTCCATTAATCATATTAAATTCAGGTGAACAAAGGGTATTTAGTTTGTGACAGAGCTGAATGGTATCTGGATAAATATAAACAAGAGAGTTAATCCTGTAAGAGCCACTATTTGCCGCAATTGGAAAAATGTCAGCAGTGTCCTTGTTAAGGGAGGTCGGAGGGTGGAAGGCAGAAGAGATTTAAGAAGACTGGTGCTGAGCATCTGGACTCTGTATTAAAGAGGGGAATAAAGCTTGTGACTGGAATACATTAGGAGAAAAGCAAATGTTCTATTCACAAAAAAATAGGCATTAATAATATCAGTCTTTAATCCACCCCAGGGCTCCTTAGCTTGCCTTATTCATTGTTGACTTTCATCTTCTTTATAAAGCCTCCTGCTAAAGGGCCCTTCTCAAATCAGCTTTAGGTCATGGGGGCATAAATACAGTTACTAAACAGATATGCAAGGGAGTAGCATGTGTGACTGGAAAACAATGTGACAACATAATCCCAGCATGGACTGATGAGGTCAGTGTGGGGTGATGCTGGCTTTTCTAGCATTTACTGAATCATCTGATGGGAGCAACAATTGAAAAGAATAAATACAAACACATGCAACATACTGCCACAAAGCTGCTTGGCCCGCATCTGAGAAAAAGGATCCTATTTTGGTAGGAGCAGTAGGGAAATGGAGGGAACAATGAGCTGGGAGTTAGGGGACCTCAGTTTGTGTCTTCTCTTCACCACTAGCTGAGTGGCTGTGTGACCTCAAGTTGTCTGACCTCTGAGAAACGAGGGCACTGGTCCAACTGGGATACATCTAAGGTCTTTTTTTAATTTTCAAAGGCAAGGATTTATAGAAGAGGTTTTATAAAAGTGCTCTAAGACCATAACCTTGAGAGACACTGTAATCTGAATTTCAATTTTTTTAAGTCACCATGTATAGTATGTTTTACCTAACATCGATGGGTAAAGGCAAAGCATTGGAAGGTACATTAGAGCAAGAGGTTGAAATAAAACAGAATCAGAGAGAACGCTTTGTGACTTCAAACCGTGACCACAGAATTCCAGTTCCCTATGGGCCCTAAAGTCTTCTTTGCAATGAGTGCAACGAGGAGAAGTGACAGGATCCCAAAAGAGCATTTAATAATCTTAGGTCATGATTATGTTCTCCAACATGCTACTTACTTGCACACATCTCCTTTTCTCATGTGTTCTTTGTCTGGAATAGTTCCCCATCTCTCCTTATCAAAATGCCATTTATCCCAACTCTAAGATCTCCCAGATGGAATGAAATGTCCTTGCACACTTTTTGGTTATCACCTAGAGAACTTATTTCATTCCAACCTCACACTACACATCACCTCCATTTAATTGTAATTACAGATTATAAGCTTCCTTAAGGCAGGGTATGGATCTCATTTATCAGTGTGTTCCTGGGCCTGCTTGGCATACTGTAGGCACCCGCCCAATAATGGTTTCTAAACTGAACTGAACAGGGACTTGCACGTTACCTGCTAATGTGACGGCAATGGAGACAGAGTCATATCCCAAGGCATTTGTCGCGTTACAAGTGTAGAAACCCACATCAGCTTCCACTGGTGCCAGAATCTGTAAGGAATCATCTGGCTGTAGAAGAATCCTGGAACAACAGGAAAAAAATGTAGATCGGGTCAGTTGAGTTCTTTCTGGCAATCAATATTGATCAAGCAGGAAGGAACCCAAGGGATATTCAGAATCCTGTTTTAACAACAGGGACAAACCAGCCACAGTGATACTCAGGAACCCCAGCTCTCTTGCCACTGTGATTGGTATGATTCTGGCAGCAACCTCAGATAAGGAGGTTTTTGATTACTTACACTGCTTGTTGATTACTTGATCTAAATGCTACCAGTTGGAGCAAACAGCATATGTGTTGAGTATGTAGAACACGCACCTCGGGGGTGAGGAGGGGAGGAGAATGAATGGTGCAGATGGATCTGGGGGAATGCTTATGAAGGAAGAAACAAGTTATAAAGGGGGAATGGGGCTTGGTTGGGTGGGGGAAAGTAAGCAGAGCTTTCAGATATGAAAAAGGCTTCAGTTGAGGCTTGGAGGAGGGAGAGAATAAGCCAGAAATCAATATCAGTAAGAGTATCTTGAGGCCCATATTTGAATGCAATTGTATGTGTAATTCTCTTTCAATTCCAGGTAGTCATATGTACATCCACCGCCTTCATTAGTCTGCAAACATTATGGGGCACAAAACTCAGCTCTTATTATTGTAGTTTTCACCATACTTGGCAAAGGACCCCTGTGTAGAGAAGGTGCCCAGTAGAATGAAGGCGATGGCTGCCCTTCAGGGCCATGCACTAGTTCAGGCCCTTTGCTTTACTTGAAAAGAATGATGAGAATCAAATTGTCGGTGCCTACCCAAAGAGCTTCAAGACTGACTCCAACCTCAGTCTATTATTTTTTCTTCTCTTGACCACTTATAAGAACTACCTGCTCCCTTATGGCAGTAGGCAGGTTAATGACTGAGGATGATTTGAAGCTGATGTCTTGGTGTCTTGGTGAGGCTGATGATAACTGGAATGTGTGGAGGTGAGAATCTGGGAGGGAATTAGGGAAGTGGGGGAGAGAGCGGGCAGCTCCCAGTGCTTGGAACCGGGAGGGCCTTAGGTGAATAAATCATTCAACAGCACAGAAATGGCTTAGAGTTGGCTTTTAGATTCTTAGAGTCAGTCATGTCTATCTTTGTGATTATTTCCAACTCCCTAGTTTTAAAAGGCCCAAAGATCTGGTCCCCTCATATCATATTAATATCCATCCTTAGAAGGCAAGCAGGTAGCAGGGGTTATTTTTCGGGAAAGGGGGAAAAAAACCCATTAAAATGTCAGGAGAACCACAAGACTTGGTGGTGAAATTAAGACTAGGAGTCAGCTCTTTTGCTTTAGCAACACATTCTCCCCACTATGCAATTTTTTTTCTTTCTTCACTATTTCTCCAGACTGCAAGGCCTTTGCAGTTCAGCACAACCTCTAGTCAGCTCTTAATTATTCAGAGGTGGGTGAGGCATCTGGCAATGAATCAGGCCCCCTCAATGCTGCTTTTGGCCTTGGACCTATTGCATTGCTTATTTTTACCTCCTGTCAGAGGAAAGGCAGGAAAGAAAAAGCAAGGCTTATATCAATCAATCTTTAATCTAGTTACATATAGGCAGTTGTAATAAAAAAATGGAGAAGGAAATAGAAAACCTTAGCCAAAGGGAAGTTTCTGGATGGTTTGTGTTTGATTCAGTGCCATTCCAGAAAATCACTGCTATTCCTGGGGACAGTCAAAATTTTGTGACATTGAATCAGAGCTGAAATTTTGTGAGGGATGACAGAGAAGCTATTAGAGATTGTGATAGAACTCACCCACTCATTCAATCATTCATCCATCAGATATTAGGTGTTTTCTCTCAAACAATTATATGTTAGTTTATTTCAAAGAAGCTAAAAAAGAGAAAGACGACTATAAAATTTACTTATCTTTGGTAAGCCATAAGTAATAATATTACTGTTTTCTAAAGGAATCTTAGCAGGTATCACGATCATTACCAAATCTCTTCAGATGTTCAGGCTGTTTTGGATTTGAAAATTTATACATTGACTTTATGATTTAAATCTTTGTGATGTCCCAGGAATATGTATGCCTCCATAACAATTTTCAAATGAAAATAAGGAAAGCAGGCTTAATCAGATTTCAATGGAACTGCCCTGGCTGGTATGGCTCAGTTGGTTGGAGTGTCCTCCTGTAGACCAAAAGGTCTTGGGTTTGATTCCTGGTCAGGGCACATACCCAGGTTGTAGGTTCGATCCCTCATTGGGTCACATACAAGAAGGCAATTGATTAATATTTTGTTTTTGTTTTTTCTCTTTCTCCCTTCCTCTTTATTTAAAAGCAAGAAAAAATGTCCTTGGGGGAGGATAAAAAAAGTCAATATTAATAGAATTAACTGCTGAGAATGATTGAACTCAGTTGATCATTTTTCAGTTTTACCACACTAAAAAGGCATGGATTAAAATTTGCTAAGTTCTAAAGTCCACTGGCACAGTTGCTTCCCTAAAATTGTCACTCTCTCTCTCTCTTCTCTACAGAAAGAGCCCTTGAATTAAACATTCAGAGCAGGAGGCTAGAAGACAGGTCTACTGAACTTTATTTTGGTCCTGCTATAGTTTAAGTAAACCATATGGATTTGCATTGGCAAATCCCTTCACCTTCCTGCATTTCAGTTTATCAACTTCTAAAACTTAGTTGAAGTATGTTTTCCTGCTCAGTAGAGGGAACTGTTAAAATGAGGTTGATAAGGTAACTTCCAGACCACCTTTTGGTATTTCAATGACCCATTGATAATGATGCACATTCTGAATGGAGAATTAAATGTGAGGAAGGGGGGAGAGAGAATGAGAAGATTATGAGGAATGAAGCAAGAGGAGCATATGATACTGACTGATTTCTCTTCAGATAATTTATCAGATCTTCATATTCAGATCATGGTTCCCTCCCCCCTGCCCCACCGAGCTACTGTACTTGCCTGATCTCATGCAGAGGATGTAAGCTCCATTACCCCACTGGCCTGAACCAACTATTTCTTTAGGTGGGGATTAGCTTTTGTAGCTACATGAGTTTCTCCAGCCACTGGTGCTACTGAGTGAGCCACAGTGCTTTCTGCCTGTCTAAAGCCCGGAGAAGGATACCCACAAAGTGGGTGAAGAGAAGGGAGGACGTCCACCACACCAGGTACAAAGCCTTTAGGGTCTGAACTAGGATGGAAATGGGGTGGAATCTGGATCTTGAGATCCAGCTTTTTTATATTCCTTTATTCCATGAACTGTCTATACAAAGATAAAACAGCTCAAGTATCTGCCTTCAGAAAAAGTTTTAAATATTGTCTTAAGACAAAATCTAAATTTGTCATGCATTGCATATACTTGTAAATTATTTATATTCATAAAACTGAATTTTAGCTCAAGAGGCCATATATATTTGATGGCAGAATCAGGATTTTGAAACAGGGTTTCTTGGGCCAGCACTTCCCCCCAATCTATCATGTCTTTAATATGCCCATAAACTTGGTAGATGGGGTTTTGGAGGCTGCCACTAGTGAGAGCCATCGTTCTGGGGAGGGTATCCATGTAGGACTCCCTAGGAAACATGACGAGGCAAAGGAAAGGGTTAGCTGGGGAGACTGAGGTTTGCCGTAGGCTTTCTATCTAGCCATCTAGGCTGGCATCTAGGGAGAGAAGCTCCTGGTTAAAAAAAAAATTCCTTTGTACTTTAGGCACCTACACTATTAATTTAACTTAATTTGTTAGTAGCTGATTTCTGTCAGCTTGCATTTAGGTTTCACATTTGACAGGACTGTTTTATAATGCACAGGCGCAGAAACATAGCACTGCCTTCCAAGCAAAACCAGAAAGATTTCTCTGGGTTTTTTTGGTTTTTGTTTTGTTGGAATTTGAGGAATCAGAGGATGAGGGGGCATGGAATGAGACATAATTAAAACCTACATAGCAAATGGTACTGTGCTCACATTAGGTATGTTAATACTCGCTGCTTTCCACCCATACCCACACCACAGTTTCCTTTTGGTTTACTGAGTTAAAATAATGCTTTATTTTTCTGGTCATTCTTTTCACCTGAAAATAAAGGAGTAGTTTTGCTTTTCTGGTGGCTTTTACTTGTAGGTTTCTAAGCCTATCTTTTCAAGCACTCTACCAATTAAGTCAGGAACAGTTGAGAGAATACAAAGAATTGTTTTAGTTACATAAGCAAGCCCTCATCATCCATGTGAGCAGGATATGGACAAAGTGCTTGTGGGCCAGTCCTACCAAGTACAAGCTTCTTGAGACAAAATTATATCCTCTGCATTTGCAATGTACAGCGAGAAAGTACTTCTATTTGAAAATAAGGCAGCTTTGGGTGCAAGTTTCTAGCAATTCCATCAATGGGGTGGTGTCATGATGACTTGTAAATCCTTGGCTCAATTGTGAATATTGCTTTCTTATGCAACATTGTATTTTTGAGAGACCCACCTCTCCAAGTGACCCCCATGACCAACCATGAAGCTGCTGTTGAGGAGAGGCCTTCCTGATGTCACTCAAGAGACATGGAGTCATCGGGTAGCCCTGGGTAAGCCTTTCAACCCTGTGAGCCTCTAAGTCGCTTCTGAAAATTTGGGATAATACTGACCTCAGGGGGTTCTTATGAAGGTCAAATAAAGTGGTATACAGACCCATTCTTACCATTTTCTAAGTAAAAAGGATTAAATGTCAGATGCATCTAAAAAATTTTTGTATATATACATATTTTTAATGGTACATATTGTGGTAACCTATGTTACCATTTTGGAATTCCTCCTTGAAATTTCTAGTTGTCAGAGGAAATATTCAAGCTCTGGACACAGAAATATCCAGCTGCTACGTGAATCATGATATTGTACCCTCACAGGCCTCTCACCCTAACAAGTAGGCATGCTTAAAAACATTTGAGGCCTCAGCACAAGATTGGAAGCTGGAAATCATAGGTATGCCCTTTCCCTCTGTAACAGTGTCTTCCTCATCTGTTCAAACTTACTTGCCCCACATCCCAACACAAACTTCTATTTCTGGTCAACAT